TTGCAGTCCAGGTTTATTCTTTTCATATATTTGTACGAATTCTAATTGTGTAGATTGGATTTGAATCTGCACTGGTTACAGTAACTGGGTTTGGTTGCTGGGTGGTTTTTCAAGAGTCTATCTTGTGGTGTTGTAAGGTAGATCTTGGGGTAGATTGGTGTGTATCTACTGGTTTGTATTTTTCACTTGGTATTAGTGGAACTTGGCAGATTTGTCAAGAACTAGATGTAGCTCTTGGGAAGAGTGAACCAGTATAAACTCTTGTGTTATATTTCTGCTTTTATCTCTTTTCATTTCTGGTTTATATTCTTGCTTTGTTTAAAACCAAATCTGCCTAATAAAAGATTGGATAAAGATTAATCATTCTTCCACAAAGAAAGAGTGTTTTTCGAAAAAGATTTCTAAGTTCAATTCACCCCCCTCTTGAACTCAACCATTAATTCTTACAAATTCTTCTCCTAGGATCCCTCCGAAGCATTTCCGGAGTTTCTTAGCATTCTTAGAAGGTATTCTGTAATGTGAGGAAGAGCGACCAACATTGTAAAGTGAAGGATTGCCAAAAAGCATCTTACTTCAAGAATATTAATTACGAAAGCATGCTTCGAAGGTTTTCACACATTCTCTCTTTCTTTTACCGCTTTTATTTACATTTATACGTGCATTAACTGTTAGGACCATGTAGTCAATATCTTAAATTCCGCAAATAAATAAAGGGTAAGTGTCATTTTAAGGTCTATTTATAAAATAAATGGTCCATCATAGGGAACCTGAAAGGGGCGTCATAGGGAAGTTAATACCTTCCCTACACGTAACTAACTCCCTTACCCACTTTGGTTATAATGGCCAAAGTTTGTTTTTGAAAACCAACGCCTTCCTTTTTTATCCTTTTCCAATGTTTCCGGATAAAACATTGGTGGCGACTCCAGAACTCATTTTCGAAAACCTCGCCTTTAGGTCCAACCCGATTATCGAACAACTCAAAGGCGTTGTGACATCACCTTAAAATGCGAGTCAAAGTTTGAAACCATCGCGTCGCTCCGATCGCCTCTTTTGACTGCGGTGACAGATGGTGACTCCACTGGGGAAGCCTAGAGAGTTGATCCCATTTAGTGATGGGCCAATTTAATAAATAAACTTAAAATTTCGCTTTTACCCTACTTTGTTTTATAACATGTCTTATTTGTTTGGCTTTAATAATTGTTGTTCATTTATTTTACACAAGTGTTTGAAATACAAACTGTACAAAAACCTTTGCACACAACAATTCCCCCTATACCCAGGGGCAAGTGAGAAATCCATAGGGAGTGGGTGGTAGATACGATTTGTTGTAGTGAGGGCCTTGAGCCCACCGGTATGATCGGAAACCACCACTCAAGGTGATAACCTTCCTCTTTTGGCACAAAGACTAACTACGGCCTTAGTGCCATACATGGTCGGAAGGCTGGAGAGTGGGGACCCTATAATGGGGGCACCTTGGGGGCCTGGCCTTGGTGAGGAAAAATAGAACTACCCTGAATATGCACTCTTCTGCAGGAAAACCCTACCTCGTAATTAAAACGTTGTCCTACTTGTTCGCGGATGAGTGAATTGTGTGTGCATTTGTTTGTTGCATTTGATTGCATAGCATAACCAAACGACAGATAAAAACCACAAAAATACTTTCACAATAAACACCCTTATCTCTGACAGTCTGTCTTTTAGCTAGCCTAGTTTCAGGTTCTTTGTAAGCTAAGTAGCCACGCAGTCTGACAGAAGAGATAAGGGACGCTAAAATTATTCTTTCGCAATAAAACCATTTTTATCTCGAATAGTTTGCCTTTTAGCTAGCCTGGTTTCAAGTTCTTTGTAAGCTAAGTAGTCACGCAGTCCGACAGAAGAGATAAAAGGTTATAAAATACACCAAATAAAAACCAAATAAAACCAAATAAGCCCAATAAAATAAAAATGGGATCTTGTTCACAAACATCAAATTCATAAAACATCCATATAGGTAGTTTATTTTTTTACAAAAACTAAACACTATCATGCATCATGTAGAAATAAAACATGATAATGTTTAGGAAAAATAAACACTTGCATGCTTGCAATAAGAATCATATTCATAGCATGCATTTTGGTTTCTAGAGAATGGAGAGGACTAGTAGACAATTGAAGAAAGTGGATATTCCCCGATACCATGCCGAGAAGTTAGAATAGCTCTGCACATTGATGCCATCAGAGGTCCGCTCCAACTTCGAAAAATCCTATAGACGGATTCTCGACTTGCTGAAGATCTGTGTCGATCCTATTTTCATCAGGATTCTAGTTCATTTTTGGAACTCCAGTCTGCACTGCTTTGAATTCTCGCAGTTCGATATGGTGTCCACTTTGGAGGAGTATGAGATTATGTTAAAATGGCCCATGTTAGCCGGGGTCCATATTCCCCATAAGGCATATACTCCTGCAGCACAAGTCGCTGCCATTATCCGATTGCCATCTCGGCAGACTACCCTGATAGCAAAAGGGAATGTCCAGGGTTGGAAAGTCTCAATATTAGAAGACCATATGTCCTCTTTGGCTGAAAGGGCAGAATGGTATGCTTTTAACATAACCCTAGCTTTAATCATATTTGGGACGATACTATTTCCCTTCCACCTCGAAACAATGGATCAAGCCGTCATGGACGCCTTCTTCGCCTGGGACGTGAACTTGAAGAGTCCCTTGCCTGCACTCCTTGCCGACACCTTGCTTTCGGTGGAATTCTGTCACCAGAAGCAAGGGAGAACACTCAGATGCTGCTCTTCACTGCTATTTGTGTGGGGTATCACACATTTCTACGCCTCTAGTCACATGGGGATGTTCCCCGACCCTTTAAGAAGCTTCTCCAAAATCCCTCTTCACCAACGCCTAACCATGGAGTGGAAGGTCGAGTTGAAACAATGGGACGTCAACCGTTTATCTTGGACATGTCCTTAGTTTTGACCCGGCCCAATCCTCATCAAATGTGGGGATTATCCGAGCATAACGTTGATAGGACTTAGGGTCTGCATAGCCTATTCTCCAAAAGTGGCTATGAGACAACTCATGAGGACCCAAACCGCGATATCACGGGAAGAGCTTGGAGGACTGTGTTTCTTCGGAGACTCATGCACTGTTGCTAATTCACTTGTTGTACGAAGAGCATGGGAGAAACCAGTCTTCATGGGAGATAGAGAGCAAGCTCGAGTAGCTGTCTCCAGTGACTATGAGGAGTGGAGAAGAAATAGAGGGATGTCACAACCATCCGCCCCACCTACTGCGCCTTCAAACAATGGAGAGCTTCAAACCTGAGTCGATGCCTTGACCTAGAGGATAGAAATCATGGGAGCCCAGATGAGGGCCCTTGAGGAAAGAGAGCAAGAATCTATCCTCACCATAGACGGTCTACAAAGGCAATGCAAGAAGAAGGATCACGAGATAGAGTGCCTCAAGGATCAGTGTGTTGATTCCAGTGAGCAAGTTATCCAAGCATCCAAAACTACCAGAATCAGATCGGATAACCAACTTCAAGAAATGACCACCAAATCAGCACGCCTTGAGGCCGAATGTGCAAAACAGGCTCAGACGATCAAGGAGTTGCTACAAGACCTCGCAAGGACTCGGTCTGAAATACGTCAAGAGCGGGAAGCTACCCAGAGACTTAACAGAAGCCTTACTAAGTTGTGCTGCAAAGAGAGAGATGGATTAGCTCAGTATGGCCAGGTGCTACGAGAAAGAGACCGAGCCCTTGCGAAACTCGATGAGTTACAAGCCTTGGTCGTCCATCAGGAGGCAAAGATCAAAGAGGCTCAAAAGTACAGCGAAGATATGGCTAGACAATCCAAAAACAGACCGAAGCACTCGCTCGTCATGTCCGGAAAGCCGAAAGAGAATTACATAGAGATCAGGACCCTCCTGTGGGTTTCTTTAGGCTCTTCCGTTTCTGTCAAAAAGTGCTTCGTAGCATGGAGTAAGGGAATGTACACTTTCTACAAAATAATAAAATTTCTTTATTCAACAATTGTCTATTTGCATGCATTACATGTATTTGCATATCTGATTCCCCCTCCTTCACTTTTAATAAATAAGATAATAAAAAGGAATGATTAACTGATACATCTTCCAATCAGAAGGATGGAGAGAAAGCCACTCACAATCAAGCTCTCCCCAACGGTCGATTCACCACAAGAGGATAATAAGCCTCGGTCGTTGGTTATCAGGGTCAATAAAGAAGAAGGGGCAAGGAAGCCTGTGCGATTGTTTGTGCCTCGTCCCTTCCCCTATAAATCACATAAAGTTGTACCGTGAAGATACGGGGAATCTTCGCCAATAAAGGAGGACATCTCCAACATAGCCGGCATTGGGGGCATGACCAGAAGCAGAAGGATATACTCCCCCAAGGAGTTACAAGAAGACGCCCCCAAGAATAAGGGAAAAAATAAACAGACCGAAGAAAGAGAAAATAAAGAATCCAAAGAGGAGACCGATGAATTACTCCAGTTCATAAGGCAAAACGAGTATTCCATTATCGACCAGCTCAATCATACACCTGCAAAGATAACTTTGTTATCTCTAATGATGAGTTCGGAACTGCATAGAAACGCCCTGTTGAGGATTTTGAGCGAAGCGAACGTCCCTCATACTATATCCTAGGAAAAAGTTGAGAGGATTGTCGGTCACGTTACGGCTAGCAATCACCTCACCTTCACAAATGAAGAGCTCCCCCTGGAGGGATCAGGCCACAACAAGCCCTTGCATATTTCTATCAAATGCAAGGAGTATCTCATCGCTAAAGTTCTTTTGGATAACGGGTCATCCTTGACGTGATACCCAAGTGCACATGTCAGAGCTTTTGAGAAAAGGAAAAAAAATGATTACTTCCTAAAAATAAATAGTCAAGCGTGCACTTAATGACTTGATTTCTGCTATTGCATTCTCTGATCAGTTTATATTGTGTCAGGTGTTTAGCTGTTTCACCTAACTTTGAGATCGCAAAGAATAATATGACTATATATTTGACAGATTTGGGAACAAAGGTGATGCATATGTTATCCTACCTATTTCCAATTGTTTTCGAGCTACACTACTGATATTTTCTGTTAAATGATGTCCTGTTTCTATGAAAAGAAAAAAATTTAACTATCAACATGAACAATAATGCAATGGTAATAAAATTGAAGTGAGTTGGCAAGCAATGCAAACATAATGGCAAGGAGCTTGTCCTTTTATGCAAATTTGAAGTAATGCAAAGTTGTTTGCTTGATAAAGGTCGGAGGACTAATTAACTTAATTGTGAAGTGGCTTTTATAAAATACAAATAATCTCTTTGTTGCATGTAGATCAGGAATAAATTTCTGGAAAATTCTGACTTTAGACCTATGGTTATTGCTTTCCATTTAATATTTACTTTTTTCTTTTCTAAAGTGTATTATATTGGTTTATAGGTTAACATGCATATGTTGACAACTCTGAATCACCGTTTCTTACTTATTTAGATCGTTGGTTTGGTGTGTAGGTTAAATTGGAGGGTGACATCAACCGTGGTGTGGCTTTTTATAAGAAAGCTTTGTATTATAATTGGCATTATGCTGATACTATGTATAATCTTGGGGTTGCGTATGGTGAGATGCTTAAGTTTGATATGGTATGTCTCAGACCATATTTCTAAATGTGCTTCATCTATTATATTACCAAACTAATGGTCTAAATGTGCTTCATCTATTATATTACCAAACTAATTGCCTTGTTGAAAAATTGTTTATACTACGTAGGCTATTGTGTTCTATGAACTTGCCTTCCACTTCAATCCTCATTGTGCGGAAGCTTGTAACAATCTAGGTGTTATATATAAGGATCGTGACAACCTTGATAAAGCAGTGGAATGTTACCAGGTATGACAGTCATGTCAGTTGTTTTCAGCCTTGTTGGAGGGATTGCATAGATTTTTATCAAAGCTTTTGTTTTTTCCTGTTGTGCAGCTTGCTTTGGGAATCAAACCCAACTTTTCAGTCATTAAATAACCTTGGTGTTATATACACTGTCCAGGTTAAGTATTTGTGCATTCCTTAAATTGGAAGTTAATCAAATTCCTTCTACTGCTGATTTCATTTTCTTTTTTCTCCAGGGAAAAATGGATGCTGCGGCAAGTATGATTGAGAAAGCTATCATTGCAAATCCAACATATGCAGAGGCCTACAATAACTTAGGTCTTCTTTTATCTTTAATTGATAATTAGTCTAGTAATTGTGGGGTCACTAAGTGGGATGAGGTCTGTTGTTGTTTGGTCATTTTGGCTTTGCTAGGACTAAAATATGCTATCTTAGTCAAGGTTGTGTCTGCTTATTGCCTTCTTGCTTGACATGTCAGGAGAGTCTAGCCTTGGTTATATGGCTTATGTTTTCAAAAATTCGTCATAAGCCATATAACCAAGGCTAGACTCTCCTGACATGTCAAGCAAGAAGGCAATAAGCAGCACAACCTTGACTAAGATAGCATATTTTAGTCCTAACAAAGCCAAAATGACCAAACGACAACAGCCTCATCCCACTTAGTGACCCCACAATTACTAGACTAATTATCAATTAAAGATAAAAGAAGACCTAAGTTATTGTAGGCCTCTGCATATGTTGGATTTGCAATGATAGCTTTCTCAATCATACTTGCTGCAGCATCCATTTTTCCCTGGAGAAAAAAGAAAATGAAATCAGCAGTAGAAGGAATTTGATTAACTTCCAATTTAAGGAATGCACAAATACTTAACCTGGACAGTGTATACAACACCAAGGTTATTTAATGACTGTGAAAAGTTGGGTTTGATTCCCAAAGCAAGCTGCACAACAGGAAAAAACAAAAGCATTGATAAATATCTATGCAATCCCTCCAACAAGGCTGAAAACAACTGACATGACTGTCATACCTGGTAACATTCCACTGCTTTATCAAGGTTGTCACGATCTTTATATATAACACCTAGATTGTTACAAGCTTCCGCACAATGAGGATTGAAGTGGAAGGCAAGTTCATAGAACACAATAGCCTACGTAGTATAAACAATTTTTCAACAAGGCAATTAGTTTGGTAATATAATAGATGAAGTACATTTAGAAATATGGTCTGAGACATACCATATCAAACTTAAGCATCTCACCATAAGCAACCCCAAGATTATACATAGCATCAGCATAATGCCAATTATAATACAAAGCTTTCTTATAAAAAGCCACACCACGGTTGATGTCACCCTCCAATTTAACCTACACACCAAACCAACGATCTAAATAAGTAAGAAACGGTGATTCAGAGTTGTCAACATATGCATGTTAACCTATAAACCAATATAGTACACTTTAGAAAAGAAAAAAGTAAATATTAAATGGAAAGCAATAACCATAGGTCTAAAGTCAAAATTTTCCAGAAATTTATTCCTGATCTACATGCAACAAAGAGAGTATTTGTATTTTATAAAAGCCACTTCACAATTAAGTTAATCAGTCCTCCGACCTTTATCAAGCAAACAGCTTTGCATTAATTCAAATTTGCATAAAAAGACAAGCTCCTTGCCATTATGTTTGCATTGCTTGCCAACTCACTTCAATTTTATTACCATTGTATTATTGTTCAATTTTATTACCATTGTATTATTGTTCATGTTGATAGTTAAATTTGTTTCTTTTCATAGAAACAGGACATCATTTAACAGAAAATATCAATAGTGTAGCTCAAAAACAATTGGAAATAGGTAGGATAATGTATGCATCACCTTTGTTCCCAAATCTGTCAAAGCTATAGC